TTTAATAATCCAACATGTTGAACATGAGTTTACAGGTACAGCTGAGGTGGCTACTCAAAACAACTAAGGCTGAGGTACACGATGCCACTGCCAACAGCAAGAGATCAACATATCCGTGTCGCTATCACGGATGCCACAGATTTGACTGCGACAAATTTAATAGAAGTTCTTCACACTATTGCGGGGAGGTGACGCCCTTACGCTGGCGAGGTGGTGGAGGTTGAAACTAATGTAGCATTTGCGATCTTTGCTGCCCCTAGTTTGGTCTTCATCTTCTTTATAGCATCTGCGGTACCATCGTTGCAGTACATCTCTTTTGGTTTTGTAAATGAGGGTCGTGACTTCTTGCTTCAGCAGTCTGCGGCTTTCCTGCCTTTTGATCTGTTTCCATCAAGCTGTTGGTTTTCATTTTGGCTCAAGATTCTTGACTGAGAAAAATAATGTTTATTAATATATTATCCTTTCTTTGACTGAGAAAACAATTATGTATGCTGTGTCCCAAGTATAAATGAATAAAATTGTGCTTTATTATCTCAATTTCCTATTGCTTTCCATCATTTAGTACATTTTTAAATATTTTTGCTGACTTATCTGGATAAACAAATCATCTGCCTCTTGTTTGTTCGCGCATAAAAACGTATCAGTTTTAAAAGCAAATTTTTGTTAAACTTTCGCATCATATATATGTCTCTCTCATTGCATAATTTATTTAATAAAAAAAGAAAAAGAAAAACATACCCTAAAATGCATGAATCAAATATTAAAAATATAGATATTGGAGATTACCAGAAAAATTATACTATAATCTGCTACATAGCTATTACCGGAAAAACTCTTTTAATGGAGGAGTAGTCATATTTTATGCTGATTATCTTTCAATATATGTCAAAAACGGAATATAAGTCTATGTGAAGACCACTACCTATCGATCATATTCAGTGCCAGCTGGAGCCTTGAGAGTTGGAAAACATGTGGATGCTGTTGTGATCTCGGAGAAAGTTGGTATATGCCTCTGTTTCATATCTCTAAACAGAGATGAACAGATAGAGAAGGCCACACTTAGTTTCATTCATATTCAATAAATATGTACACAGCTTTATTAGTACACATCATTAACATATATAATACTTGTTAATACATGAGAAATAAGTTTAAAACACGATTACTATAGTGACATACATGGCTTATCTCTGATTCGAGGGAAAGAGATAGTGTGCTCTGCTACTGCTACTTAGCTACTGAATACTTGTCATATTTGACGCTACCCATCGATGCCGGGGGCTTAATCTCCTTTGCTAAGATACCTGATGAAGAACGTGGCAATAGCCACGAATGAACGTGGTCTTCAAGGGAGCCCAATTTCTGCAAATTGACAAGTGGGATGTTGACAAGAATTGAAGAAAGTGGAGATTGTGGGACAAGAATTGATTCATTATGTGTTGAAGAAAGTTATTTTTTTCCTTCTAATCATTACCATAAAGTAAGTAGAAGAATTAGATTTTTCAAAAGGGGGAAGCTTTGTATACTTGTGCTTCACGCTTCTCCTCTTTCATACGCTAATTTAGTAAATGAAGAATAGTTCAACCGCGTGTCATGGATGACAAAACATAATACAATGGAGAAATAAAGAAATCAAAAAAAAAGGATTAAGTATAATATAAAACTTTATTGAAAGGTGGAACACTCATCATAACTCACTTCCTCTAAAATGCTCACTTGCATGGAGAATTCAGATTGCCTTGGGAGTTGGAACTTGATATAATACAAAAACAAATGGATGGGGACAAACTACTTTTGCTAGCATCCGGATGTATGTGGCTGAACCAATTAGGTTTTTGTCTTCTGAGTGATGTTAGCCACGCATGAATGTACTCTTCAAGGGAGCCCAATTTCTACAAATTGGCAAGAATTGGAGAAAGGGGACTGAGGGACTTAAGGCAGCGTTGGATTCATTATGTGTTGGGGCCCAAAAAAAAAATCTAAAATCTTCGGATAATGTTGCTCTAATTTCATTATTACTTCATTGAAAAATTTTTCAAAAGGAGGAAGACTAGTTTTATTGACCCAAAAAATTTAAATTCTTGCAAGTTGATGAAAGGGACAAAGGGTGGTTTCTTTGAAATCGTATTAATATAGAATTTGATAAAAAAAAAAGTATGAATAAAAAATCAAAAGAAAATGCATTATGTATATGCAAACCTTCATTAAAAGATAGAACACTCACCATAAATAACTCGAACAAATTTTGTTGAATTTGTTGACATCACCATAAGCTTAATTTCCTACCTAAATTGCTCACTTGCATTAACTATAGTTAAAGGTGAACTAGGGACTTTCTTCAATACTTCATCATGGACTTGACGCAAAATTTCGTAAAGAATGCTTCAATATATTCATAATCATACCTTAGAGGAGTGCTTAATGTGGGCCTTCCTTTAGATAAATTAAAATGATTAGTTGGAATTTTAGTTTTCATTTAAGTTTAACTTGAAATTTTAATTTGAAAGAAGAAATTTAAATTTCCAATATTGTATAAGTGTGGGTGATAAAACTCATGATAACATGACTTTCTTCTAAAGATACTCAGGAATTAACATATGAATTGGATTGAGTTGGACATTATTATGATCTATACAAATTAAAATAAACTGCGAGTTTAATATAAAAATTAATTTCATTATTAATATTTATCATTTCTTAAATTTTAAAGTAGATGTTACATGAAAAAGGCAGTCAATAATTGAAATATTGTCCGCTTCATTTCTCCTTTTTCCTCATCAAAAGGTTTCTGTTAATATAGAGTTTGATGAAAGAAAAAAAGAAATCAAAAGAAAAAGCATTAAGTTATACCAAAAGCTGCAACACTCGTCTACGAACCACTGGTAATATGTAGTCCACTACAGAAACAAAATTAATCTTTCTATTGAGACTTAATTCCCTTTTATTTATATTTGTTCTTTTCTCAATATGTCTGATTTGTTTTTTCCTTTTTCTTTAGTATTTATATTTTGTGAAAATGAGTTAAAAAAAATTTGATAAAAGTGTTGTCAATCCATCTCTAACAATGAAAGTATTATGAAACTCTATCAAAAAGTGGAAAAGATATTTTAACTCGGCTCTTTGCATAGAAATTCCTACCTTCAATCTTTAAGATTGATATATCTTTATTTTATTCACATTTAACAAATATATACATAGCTTCATTACCACACATCATCAATAGATATAATATTTGTTAATACATGAAAACAAGTTTAAAACATGACCATTATAGTAACATGCATAGCTCCACATCATAGTCTTCAACATCGAGCAAAAACACATACAAACATGCAGGATGTCCAAGTGGATTGTCCCTTGACATTTTGTCCACTTGGTACATGCAAGCATCAACAGATGCTTCACGCTTTTCGTCTCTGATACGGCAGTCACGTAATTTTAGTCAATGAAAATATTTCAACCTTGTCATGGGCGACAAAAGGACAGTTCAAACGTGAACCAGAGGGCATACTTCACACTTTTCCTCTAGCTACCGCTATTTGACCGGTGGGACTAAGCGCTCCCAAAGGTCTAGTCAACATGTTCAATTCAGAAGGTGCCATCAAGGAGTTGAAATATAAATACAAGTATTAGCTTGAAATTTCGAGGCTGTGGCCTGTTTGGAGTCTATTTATCCACTCAACCTCAAAGAACAATGGTTGAATATGAAGGGAGGACTAGTCATATTTTATACTGATTATTTCTAAATATGTATCAAAAAAGCAATGTAAATTCATGTGAAGACGGTTACACGTCATGTTCAATGCGATGGGGCTGCCTTAACTACGCTGAGGAGGTTTGGATCACTTGTTTCTTTCTGTTCCCATGCAGAATGCAGACTGCCTTATCTCTGATTCGAGGGAAAGAGATAGTGTGCTCTGCTACTGCCACTGCTACTTATCTACTGAATACTTGTCATATTTGACGGTACCCATCGATGCAGGGGGCTTAATCTCCTTTGCTAAGATACCTGATGAAGAACGCGGCAATAGCCACGTGCTACACAAATTCATCCTTTACATTATAACATTTTTACTCGCCAATGCTTCCAAGTCTTGAGTGGTAATAGCCACGAATGAACGTGGTCTTCGAGGGAGCCTAATTTCTGCAAATTGGCAAGTGGGATGTTGACAAGAATTGAAGAAAGTGGAGATTGTGGGACAAGAATTGGATTCATTATGTGTTGAAGAAAGTTATTTTTTTCCTTCTAATCATTACCATAAAGTAAGTAGAAGAATTAGATTTTTCAAAAGGGGGAAGACTTTGTATACTTGTGCTTCACGCTTCTCCTCTTTCATACGCTAATTTTAGTCAATGAAGAATAGTTCAACCGTGTCATGGATGACAAAACATAATACAATGGAGAAATAAAGAAATCAAAAGAAAAAGGATTAAGTATATATAAAACTTTATTGAAAGGTGGAACACTCATCATAACTCACTTCCTCTAAAACGCTCACTTGCATGGACTGTATTTGAAGCTGCTAGAACCAAACACTGGTAATAATCCAACTTTAGAAACAAAATTAATCTTTGTATTGAGAATTAATTCATGCTTTTAAAGCTCCCTCTGATTTATATTTTTGCTTCTATATTTTGTGAAAAAAAGTAAAAAAAAAAAAGAAGAATTTGATACAAGTGTTGTCAATCCATCTCTAACAATGAGAATTTGATAAAAGAAAAAACATTAATAAACAAATAAATAAATCAAAAGAAAATGCATAAAGTAATATGAAAATTTATTAAAAGGTGGAACACTCATCATCACTCGTGCAAATTTTGTTGAATTTGTTTAAACCCAAAAGAATTTGCTTTTTGGTTTTCTTTATTTGTAGGGACTTTCTAAGATGCTTCACCATGGATAGTATTTAAAGAATGAGCATCAAACAACACAATAGTTCAACAAATTAACTGAATTTGTTTCCTTTTTAACTACTTGCCTCAACCAAAAATATAGCCTCATGGGAAACAACGGCTTCTTCCTCCCTCCTATGGTATTTGTGGTGGTGTTGAGCTACTCCGTGACTACTTTGTTTGCGGAATCACCCAACATCGCTACTGACCAATCGGCTCTTCTTGCACTAAAAGCCCATGTCACCCATGACCCTCTAAACTTGTTGGCAACCAACTGGACTAGTGGCACCTCTGTTTGCAACTGGATTGGTGTCACTTGCGGATCCCATCATCAAAGGGTTACCACTCTTGATCTTTCTAACATGAATCTTACAGGCACCATCCCACCTCACTTGGGAAATCTATCTTTTCTTTCTCTGCTTAACATCAGATTTAATCATTTTCATGGCTCATTGCCCGTGGAGTTGGCTAATTTGTCTTCGCTGAAATATATAAGCTTTGGTCACAACAATTTTCATGGAGAAATTCCGTCGTGGTTTGATTCCTTCACTCAACTTCGTAGCTTGTTTCTATATAGTAACAACTTCTCTGGTATTATCCCGTCTTCTTTGGGCTCTTTATCAAATCTTGAGCAGTTGATGTTGATGGACAATTATCTGGAGGGGCAAATTCCTATAGCAATAAAAAATCTTTCCAACTTGAAATGGTTGTATTTGGAGAATAATCAGCTCTCAGGTTGCATAAATAATCAGCTTGCTCGATCATTAATTTATCTTTATTACAAATGTTGATTTCAACACTAACAATTTCATTGTAGGTCAACTCCCATCGACTCTATTTGATCACCTTCCTAAGTTACAAGAACTGGTTTTGGAATTCAACCTTTTCTGCGGTAAAATTCCAATTAGTTTATTCAAATGCCAAGAGTTAGAAGTTTTAAGTCTAGCGGACAATACCTTGGAGGGAAGTGTGCCTCAAGAAATTGGGAATTTGACTAGATTAAGCGAGTTGTACCTCTATCATAACAACCTAACAGGTATATTTAATGTGGCCTTCTTCTAGTCAATTTGTTTTTATTCTTGAGTTCAGATTTATGATTTTATTTTTTATTTAGGTTGAACTTAAAAATCTGAATCTAAAAGAAGAGATTTAAATTTCTCCTTTAATATAAGTGTATGTGATAAAATTCATTAAAACATGAATTTCTTAATTATTTTTGAATTGGATGTGTTAGATCTCCATTTAGAAAAAAATCCTGAAAAAGATAAATTGGATTGGAAATTTATACTTTTATGTTAATTAGTTATGCATTAAAGACAAGTGGCCTATTTATCACAACAAATCTTAGTAGGAAAATTCTGACTTCTAAGGAGTGAACACTACTTTTCAGGTGAAGTTCCATCAATAATCAGAAGCTTGTCTTTTCTTGAGTATCTTGATTTGAGCTATAACGACTTGTCAGGTAATCTTTCTTTTATTTTATTTGATTTGTGCATATCTGATATCTTTTTTAAACTTTAACTAATATTCATATTTATTAATATAAAAATACAAAACCCAACAATCAAAAGGTTAAGTATTGTAATTACTTAATTCCTAGAGGGTTTGCATCTGATAGATTAGAAGTAAATGGAAAAATCATTTGTTAATTATACCAAAAAAAAAGGAAAAAAAAAGGGGGGTGGGGGACAACTTGTTATAGAGCTGTGATATGGATATTCCATCATTCACTCAATCACTAGCACTAGATACTGTCCAAGGAGAAGTAAAAGTATCATTTTTCGAGCAAGAAAACATTTTTTTTTTTGACATTTTTATAGAGCAATTCTTTTTAAAAATTATTCAAACTCCTTATCTCTGTTCAAATTTGCTCCAAGGTCGACTTCCAGCTCTACAATCTTCCTTGCGTGGCCTAGACGTTTCACACAACAATTTAATTGGCGAAATCCCTTCATCAATTTGCAATATGAGTTCATTGGTAGACTATTTCATTTTGTCTTCAAATAATTTTCGTGAAATGATTCCAGAATGTCTTGGAAACTTGAGCAATTCTATTACCAACGTGGATCTAAGCAGGAATAATTTTCATGGGAAAATACCTGGAAATTTTCATAAAGGTTGTCTGTTAAGAAGTTTCAGCATCCACCACAACAAACTAGAAGGGTTGTTGCCGCGCTCTTTGGTCAATTGCTTGGATTTGGAAATTTTAGATGTAAGGAACAACAACTTAAATGACACATTTCCAAATTGGTTAGGAAACTTGGGTTTACAAGTTCTCATCTTGCGACATAATAGATTCTATGGTCACATTGATAACTTTGAGGGTAGATTTTTCTTCTCTGATTTGCGAATCATTGATCTCTCACACAATGATTTCAATGGCTTTTTGCCAACGAAATTTTTTGAAAATCTGCATGCCATAAGAAGTGAGAGTGGAAACAAAAGTGACTCAAATTACATGATGTATATTGGGTCTGATCAAGATGAATATTTATATCATTCTTTATCTATTACGATAAAAGGGTTGGATATGGAGTTCCCAAATATCTTAACGATTTTGACGATTATTGATTATTCAAATAATCGATTTCACGGACAAATTCCTGAAATACTTGGAGAACTTCATTCACTTGTTGTCCTCAACCTTTCTCACAATAGTTTAACGGGTCCAATCCCATCATTGCTAGGAAACTTGTCAGCACTTGAATCATTAGATCTCTCATCGAATAAGCTCGAAGGAAAAATTCCAGCACAATTAGTAAATCTTATATTCTTAGAGGTGTTAAACCTTTCGTGGAATAACCTTGTGGGACTTGTTCCTCGAGGCAATCAATTCGAAACTTTCACAAATGATTCCTACATTGGAAATTTGGGTTTATGTGGGCTTCCTTTATCAAAAAATTGTAGTGATGAGCAGATTTTGATACCACAATCAACAAAGTTTGATGAAGACGGTGACACCATGAATTGGAAATTTTCTATATTGATGGGGTATGGATGTGGACTAGTGTTTGGGTTGAGCATGGGATATGTTGTGTTCACAACTGGAAAACCACAATGGTTGGTTAGGATCTTTGAGAGAGGTCAACAAAAATATGCTATTGGAGGGAAAATCTGCAGAAATGGAGGAAGAAACTAATACAGCTAATGCTCTTAGGTGAGTACTAATAGTTCTAATAAAATGGCTATTGTTTCTTATTCAAATTCAAGATCTTTATTTGACAAGTTTTAACATATATTACCAGGTCAAGTATGTGCCAACTTCCAAGATTAATTTCTTCCACAGATAGTTTGGTAAATTAGGATCTTGACAAGAAAGGAGATTTTGCAAGGCTGGTGGATTCTATGATCATGATATATGTATATATTGCTGTGGGCTTTCTTATTTTGTTGGTCTCCTCTATATTAGACAGTTTTACTGTTAGTTGGATTGTTATAGCTAATTTCAGTTGTATTAGTCCTTTTATAAGCATTGTATAATCCAAAATGGATCCACCTCTTTTGTCTTTGTATTTATTCTTATAGTCCTTTGTTTATACTTTGAATGAAAAACAGTTACTATGGTATGTATTGTCAACTTGAGATATCTTGAATTATATATCCTTCTCCATTGCTTGCTTTCGATTATGTGATAAAGATAATTGATAACTTGAAGCATTTTGTATAACGTTTTTCCTGAGTTAGACAACACATTTCTGAGATCAAACAATAAAGACCAAATACTAATATGAAAATAGAAGCAGAATATGTAAGTTGCGTAATGCCTCTTTTGAAAATCTCAGCAGTTTCTTGTCTCCACGAAGCCAAGGTCTTTAGTCATAACAAAGTCAATGGATCTACCCTGTATAATGTTGCAATTAAGTTGAATCACCTTTGATCTGGACAATTCGATCATTATCTTTTTGCATGGTTTAATGTTGTCTACATCTTATAAGTAGTAAGAAGGAGAAAAAGCTGTGAGAAAGAGAAAGAGAGATATTGTCTTTAACTATTACTTGACATTAACTCTTAGTAATGGTTACCTAACATTAAAACTCTTCTTAATAATATTATTCATTACATATATTAAAGCATTTTCTTGAAACTGTTACTTTTAGTACTATATATAAAGCCTTCACAATTTAAGGGGGAGACTTTCACTTTCAAAACTATCTTACTCTTACCTCAAAACACCTACTCACTTTCAAAACTATATATAAAACTATCTTTTCTTGCAATATTAGTTCATCAATACATTATCTCATTTTCTCAAATAATAGTTTTCGTGGAATTATTCCATAATGTCTTTAAAATTTTAACAACTCTATTCAACATATGGATCTAGGTATGAATAATTTTCATGGTAAAATACTTGGAAATTTCATAGAGATTGTTTGTTGAGAAGCTTTTTCGTTAATGACAACTAGTTAGAAGGGTCACTGCCATGCTCTTTGGTTAACTGCTCGAAATTGAAAATTTTAAATTCTCTTTAAATTATCAACGAGAATGACCAAACAAATTCTCTTTATGCTTGCGCTGTTTTCCTCATCCTCCCTATCTGTCCTTTCTGGCAAGGTGATTTCTTTCCAATTAGTTAGATTGTTATCACTAATTTCAGTATTATTAGTCCTATATGGTCGTAATTCTGAATTTTTCGATTACGGTATGTATTTTCAAGTTGCAGATATCTTGAACTATATTTACTATTTTATACTTGATGTATGTATTTGCTGCAAATTAGAAGGCACATATTGTAGATTTTCCATACAGAAACATACAGGAAAGGGATTATGTGAAGTGTTTTCCCCTGACAAATTATCAAAGAATATCTGCACAATGAAAATGAAAGTAGCAAAGAATATACACAGAAATGCTCTTTTTGGCTTCTTTATGTTGATGGTAACTGGGTGCTAATCCTTCAATTTTGCTTCTTTTTTGTGCCCGAATTTGATGACTATAAATTCTTTATCATAATAATTTTGGTGATAGCATTGGCTTTGAAATATCAAAGGGAGATACTATTTGATACTTTAAGCCACGAATGGATGTGTTCTCCAAGGAAGCCAATTTCTGCAAATTGGCAAATGGGATATTGACAAGAATTGAAGAAAGTGGAGATTGTGGGAAAAGAATTGGATTCATTATGTGTTGAAGAAAGTTATTTTCTTGTTCTTTATTACCTTGTAATAAAATGAGTAGAAGAATGAAATTTTTCAAAAGGAAGAAGACTTGTATATATGTGCTTCACGCTTCTCCTCTATCATGTAATTTTAGTCAATGAAGAATAGTTCAACCGTGTCATTGATGGCAAGACATAATATAATGGAGAAATCAATAAATCAAAAGGAAAAAAGCATTATAACTCATCATAACTCACTTGTATTTTTAAGGTGCTAGAACGAGTCTACCAAACACCGATAATAATCCACTTTAGAAACAAAATTAATCATTGTACGGAGAATTAATTCATGCTTTTAAAGTTCCCTTTGATTTATATCTTTGCTTTTTTCAATCTGTCTTTGATTTTTTATTTTTTTTTCTTTTCTTTTCCATTTACATTTTGGGAAAAAAAGTAAAAAAAAAAAAAGAATTTAATAAAAGTGTTGTCAATCCATCACTAACAATGAGATGTGAAAAAAGAATTTGATCAAAGAAAAAATATTAACAAAGAAATAAATAAATCAAAAGAAAATGCATTAATATATATATATATATATATATATATATATATGAAACTTTATTAAAAGGTTGAAGACTCATCATCACTCGTACCAATTTTGGTGAATTTGTTTAAACCCAAAGCTTAAATTCTTTCCTGAAAATCTCACTTGCATTGATTATATTACAAAGTGGTAGAATTAGTCTACAAAACACTAGCTTCACCGTGAAGTAGAGGGCATGCTTCTTCACCCTTTCCTCTTGCTACTGCCGATTGTCCACTTTGCTTTTTGCTTTTCTTTATTTGTAGGGGCTTTCTAAGATGCTTCACCATGGATAGTATTTAAAGAATGAGCATCAACCAACACAACAATTCAACAAATTAACTGAATTTGTTTCTTTTTTAATTACTTGCCTCAACCACAAATATAGCCTTATGGGAAACATTGGCTTCCTCCTCCCTCTTATGGTATTTGTGGTGGTGTTGCGCAACTTTGTGGTTAATTTGTCAGCGGAATCACCCAACACCACCATTGACCTGTTGGCTCTTCTTGCACTAAAAGCCCATGTCACCCATGACCCTCAAAACCTATTGGCAACCAACTGGATTAGTGCTACCTCTGTTTGCAACTGGATTGGGGTCACTTGCGGATCCCATTATCAAAGAGTCACCGCTCTTAATCTTTCTCACATGGGTCTTATAGGCACCATCCCACCTCACTTGGGAAATCTATATTTTCTTTCGAAGCTTGACATCCGGTTTAATCATTTTCGTGGCTCATTGCCCATGGAGTTGGCTAATTTGTCTTCACTGAAACATATAAACTTTGGTCACAACAACATTCGTGGAGAAATCCCGTCATGGTTTGATTCCTTCACTCAACTTCAAAGCTTGTTTCTGCACCATAACAACTTCTCTGGTCTTATCCCATTTTCATTGGGCTTTTTGTCAAACCTGGAGAAGTTGATCTTGTATGACAATGATTTGAAGGGGCAGATTCCTATAGCAATTGGGAAACTTTCCAACTTGAAAAGGTTAAATTTGGACAAAAAACAGCTTTCAGGTTGTATAATAGTTAGCCTTCTCCGTCATCAATATATTTTTATTGCATATATTAATTTCAATACTAATAATCTCATTATAGGTCAAATTCCATCGGCTCTATTCAAGTGCAGAGCGTTAGAATTCTTATCTTTATCTTACAATGCTTTGGAGGGAAGTGTGCCTCAAGAAGTCGGGAATTTGACTAGACTGAAACATTTGTATCTCGATAGTAACAACTTAACAGGTACACTTAAAGTGGGTCTTCTTTTAGACAAATTAAAATGATTAGTTGGTAATTTGTTTTTATTTGTGATTTTAGTTTTCATTTGAGTTGAACTTGAATATAAACTTAATTTTAGTTTTTATTTGTTTTGTTTCTTTCTTAATTTGTCTCAACTCCGAATATAAACTTAACAATGTAAAAAGATATTTTAACTGTACATAAAAGGAGATATAGGTCTCCCAGAATATAAATTCCTATATACCTTCACTCCTTAAGATCAATATATCTTTATTGCAAATGTTGATTTCTATTCTAATAATCTCATTGTAGGTCAACTTCCGATGGCTTTATTCAAGTGCCAACAATTAGAAGATTTATATTTATCTCAAAATGCCTTGGAGGGAAGTGTGTCTCAAGAAATTGGGAATTTGACTAGATTAAGACAGTTTTATCTCTTTGATAACAAGCTAACAGGTATGCTTAATGTCTGTCTTCCTTTAAACAAATTAAACGATTAGTTGGTAATTTAATTTTAGTCATGAGTTCAGATTTATGATTTTAATTTTCATTAAGTTTGACTTGAAAATTTTAATTTAAAAGAAGATATTTAAATTTCAAATATTGTATAAGTGTGGGTGATA